AAAACTGTTTGTCCTGCTCTGTGTGTGTGTGTGCTTGTGTGGGTTGCCACTTTTTGTGTTGCTAACTCGGGGTACATGTACATACATACATACATGTGTGTTTGTGTGAGGGCTAACGCAATTTTCGTATTCACAAAAAAAGCGAACAAAATGTCACCGCCTTCGCCTCTGCACTATGGGGTTTTTGACCTGTTTTTGTGGCATTAATTAATAACTCGGTCAGTTTTGGAGATATCGACATGAAACTTTACCAATCGTCATTATTTGTCCCTAGGCACATATAGTGTGAAAATCGTTTGGATCAGGAAACAATATCCTATAGCTCCCATAGGAACAATCGGTTAAAACTAAAAAAAAATTAATGAAATTTAAGTAGCTGAAATTTGTTGCTCCAGCCCTATAAAAGTTGATGATAATAAGTGCAACAAAAGCAAAAAGAAAAAATTTCATCAAACTCAAAACTCAACGGCAGCCATGCATACATATCGACTAACAATTCGCCAGTTTGTAGGCAAAATGATTCGAATTTGTCCAAGTTGATGGGCAACTGACAGGACAAACATATCAAAATGATCCTCATATTATAAATAATTTGTTCATTCTTGCTCAAGCCGGCCCTTCTCGCTATTGTAAAGAGCAACCAAGTCGGCGTTGGAGAAAGTGAGGTTATCTAAGAAAAATTCAAATTGCACCAATAGTGCGGAAAAGTGCACAATAAGACTAACAGATTTTTGCTCAGAATTGACCAGGCTACAACATACACTTGGGCGCATTGAAAACTAATGCAAACTTCTATTTCAAAACTCTTCCCAAAGTTGAAATTTGTTCCTCAAAATTCAGCTTAAGGTGCATTTATAAAATGACAAAATATTAGTATAAACACGCATAATTTAAACAATTAATACATTTAACATATAGTACAAGCCTGTGAGATCAGTTTCCATTTGTTTTTTTCTTTTCAAATGGTGTTTTACACGAGTAAATTAATTTCAAAGAACGCTTTAAAAAAATTGCAAACTTAGCGCTGGTGCTTTCGGATGCAACAGCTGACTTTACAGCTGTTATGCTAAAATATGCTGTTAAGTATTAACATTTTGAGTATGAGGCATAACAGTTTGATGTTCTGTTAATGCATTCCCATTTTTTTTTTTTTAATTAGAGCACTTTTAAAAAATGACTAAATGCCACATAAAGTGGTCAAAAACCCCATAGTGCTCTGGTTTGACATATTTTTCACACAACGTCTGCTTGTTAAATTGTTGGCGGCAATTTGAGGTTAGCGTGACAAACAAACACAACCATATCAACACACACAGACACACAGATGCATTTGCAAGGACACTGCAGTGCAACCAAGTTGATGTTTGCTATGTTGCTTGTGGCGCTCGCTGAAATTCGGGCTTAACAAAATGAGCTTGTTTTGTCCACGGTTTTTTTTAGCTTGGGTAAGATAAAATTATGGAAAAGAAAAATGCGTCTTCATAACATCAAAAAAATTGCTAGTAAAATGTGCATTCTCTTGTTTAAATTCTTATGATATTTTTAAGACCAACTTGGAACAATACGATTAAAATGTGAAATAGCAAATGCGCACTAAATGGGAAAATAGTTTATTTTATTTAGTGCTCCCTGTTTTGTTACTTTGTTCTAAAATACTTGGTTAACAGATAAATAACAAATTTGCATAAAAATCGATATCCTTCTACTGCTAAATAATGATCCTGTGAAAATTGAAATGAAACTATTCCTAGCACATTTCCATGTTGATCTCACACCATTTTTAATAGACTTCCACCGACATCTGACAGGGTTAGTAAATATGCAAAGTTGCTTTTTTATCTTGGCACATTTCTCTCCAACGTTTTCCATATACCGGCACGCGAATAGAAGAAATTGCAAAGGGCCAGAGAAAGTCAGAGAGAAAGTAGGAGTCCGAGAGAAAAGGCGAGGCGGGATTGAGAATCGCTTGCATGTTTAGCACTTGACGGCTTAATGGCGAACAATTTGGGTTAAGACAAGAGGGAACGCCCCTTACTGGACTCAACTGGCAGAAGGACTGGCCCGGATTAAAGGATATAGTGAGAGCTTAAATAGGGACATTTCAATTATTGTGAGAGGCCTTTAAGAAGGACCTGCCAAGTTATGGAAATTGAAGGCGCCAAATGTCTAGTCCACAGCACAGTACATTTAAATTCATGTGAGTTATCAATTTCCGCTATGGAATGCACTCGAAAGATGAAAATCTCATTTCCCGTACAATTGTTTTAACTGCAATAGTAATTTGAGACATAAATAATTCGCCCCGAGCAGAGACAAGCGGTTGAAGCGTCGACATAAGGGACAGGACTCGGAGAAAACACGGACAACATCCACTGGAGCAATAGCCACTGGTCAAAACAAGACGAAAAACATGGTCGTGGGGAGGGGGAGGGGGGCGAAAGGATTGAGCCCGGAGCTTAACAAACATGCAGCTGCCAAGAATTTATTGGCTGGACAATGACAACGACAAGGACCGAGCAGGACAATTATCATTGTAAACATTTTGCCATGACTTCAGCAAAATGAGGAATGGACAACTGAAGGGGGAAAAATGTTTTAAACTTGCCATTTAAGCAGCTTTTTTTTAGTTCCGACATAGATACACATATGTTTCTTGTCCGACTGTCAGAAAAATTGAAAATTGAACTAAGACCATTAAAATAGTTTTACCTTCAGTTAGTGGAAAGCTTTCTAAATTTAACTATTTAAGTTTAACAGTTTAAGGGTCATCCCATTTAATTTTAAAGCATTCAACTCACAAAGTTCAATGGCATTTCGTGAAATATAAACTTTAAGAACATCTTTATAAAACCAAAACTTAAAACTCAGATTGTTGACTAATAAATTAAAATTTTTTTGAAGTTCAATGTTAAAAATACAAACTATTTGCTATCCATTGATGGCAACAAAGTAAAATTGATAAAATTATTTCCCAAATTTATATATCTCTGAATTTTGCAATATCTTTCAGCTGAAGCCATTAGTGCCTCGCACTTTTCCGACTGCCGCGAGCAAAGTTTTCCTGGACAACAGTCTCGGTTACTTTTCAAAAGGTAGGAAAGGGGGAAAATGCGATGGAGCAGCAGCCGTCCAGATGCGAAAGTGCATTAGACACAAAGTAATCGATACTGAATGGAGGAGCAGTCCTGCCGAAATGCTTTAAGCCTTCAATCAGGAGATGTGTTTGAGTTATCGCCTCGCTTTTTCCGAGTTTTGGGGGCGGGGATTCTGAAAATTTGTTCAGCCAACGCTAAGTTTACGTTTATAGGACTTATCAGTTTCCCCAAATTGAAATGTTTGCACTCCGCTGAATCTGCACGCGCTTCCTTCCGGTTTTGTTTACTCTCTGCTTGTGTGTGTGTGGGTGAGTATCTATGTGCTTATCGAATTTACTTATTTAGGTAGCTATGTTAATGGCATATTTGAAAACGACGAGGGCGGGAATTTCGGCAGACCCATCAACCCGTGGGCGTATGTCTTCCTAGCCGTTTTAATGCCAGGTTAGGTAAACACTTGCGAAATGAATTAACTTTAAGCCGCAAAATTTGTACTCTTGTGTGCGTATGTGTGTGTGTGTATGTACGCTTCTGTGAGTGTGCATACATAAATGCTCGTAATTGTTTATTTACATAACTTGACATAAGATTAAAGACGCTTTTGATTAACGATGCGAAAGACAGCAGGGACTTAAAATTAAATTGCAAACATTAAATTGTTGACATGCCAAGATGGAAGCTTTCGAAAGTGACATATACACAAACATATACGAAATATCAAAATATTTAATTAAATTACCGTCTATATATAATGGCAGTTTTGTAAGCCGTAAATATTTGCAATTATAAAATATTTAAGTTTAATTTAAACTTTAAATTCTATAACACGTTTTGCATACATGGAAAATACATTCTGTTGTTTTGATAAATACAAACACAATGAATTATGTCAACCAGTATAAATCTTTAGTATTAATTAAAATCAAGAAAATATTGACTATTTGTTTAAAACATTCTTTTAAGTGTGCTTTTTAAATTTTTAGACGTCCAACGGTGCGTATAAGCAATATTAGTTAAAAGGAGAAGCGAATGAAAAGATCTAGAAAATAAACTAATTTAAATAATTGCATTATCCAGACACAACAGCTTTTTAGAAACATTTTTCCCGATTTCAATTAGTGTCAAATGCGCAGGAATAAGAAAAAATTTGCTGCTTCATCCATATTCATTCAGCCTTAAGCATTTATGTGAGGATTTGCGCGAAAAATGCCAAAAAGTTAAGCGAGAGGGCGGAAGGGGCGGGGAGTTAAGGAAAAGCCGCCCTAAGCCATAATTTAATATATTGACACAAAGCTTTGTCGTAAGACGTGTCTTGGCACCATCATAATCCCCAATATTGTATATTGACAGCTGTCAAAGGAGCCACTTCTCCACTTTCCCACATCCGTCCTTCTGCACGAAAAAAAAACCACAGAAAAACTGAAAGGAAAAAGTAAGTTTTTGGCTTAATGCGCAACTATGCGGAAAATATTTGCGCTTAGTTTGAGTTCGGCATAGGAAAATGTAGTCACACACATGAACCCAGCGCTACGTGTGTTGGTTGAAGGACATGCAAGTGGGCCTAGGACCCAAAGCCCAGGAAACAGGTTGGCACACAAATGAACTGGGCCAGAAAAGTGGAGGAACGTTGGGTGGTGGCAACTTTAAGACGCCGGAATAAGTGTGGTGAACAGTCTTCAATCGGCAGAGATTACTCTGGTCGAAATTACAATGAAGTCCTTTTACAATAGAGTTCCGTTGCTGGGTTACATTTAATTTATTAACTGAATTCGGAAGCGTAATTTTATATAGTTGGCTTACATTTACGGAGACCTTACTAAATGTTGTGGCTAAAAAACCAAACCAAAGTTAATCAGTTACATAGACTAGTTACATTAATGTTCCCAATAAATTACTCCTATTTTCTAAATTTGTTCTTGTTATCTATTATGTATTTAAGTCTCACCACATAATTTTGACAAATTATCCAATTGAATTAAATTAAATAGTTGTAGAAATCGTGTCCAGACCCTGATGGGTATTTGTTTCTTGGGTTTTAGGAAATGTTACGCCCTCGAAATCGTGCTAGGGATTTGGCCAGCATTGAAGAAGCTTTCTTGATGGAGCGCAAATTCCTTTGGGTCAAAGGTCGCTCTGGCGTGGAATAATGGATTTGTTCTCCTTGGTTTCTATTTAAGTCGTTGGGTGCATTACTGCTATCCTGAGGTTGGACCCTTTGACCGGGTAGCGATATGGATGAAGCAGATAAAAAGACATTATGATTCTCTGACTGACTGATAATGTTTGGCATGAAGCTACTTTCGCAACTGGAAGCTGAGGCCAAAGGATTGATCAGTCGTTTTGGGACAACACCCTCTACAGTCAATTCTTTCACCCGATCCGCATAACGTAGGGTGTTCAAAGTGTGCTCCACCGAATGCAAACCCGGTGAAATCATGGCTATCATGCAGGTCTTGACCTTCTTGCCTCCGATAAAGGAATCCCGAAGGACTTGGGTGAGTTTGGAGCCCCTGAAGGGGAGGTGAGTCGACTGGCGACCCAGAGCGCGGATGCATTCCTTTAAGACCAGCAGGGATTTGTTGATCTCCGATCCCTCCAGCCGGGTTAACCTGTCCGCCGAACTATTATCCGCCCCTCTTTCATTCCCAGCCAGATCTATGAGTGAGAATTTCCCGTGCAAACGCTCAGTCGTCGAGGATCTGAGCACAATTTGGAAAATCGCATGGGATCGCGAGGACTTGGAATTGGCCGACGTTTGACCCGAGGTTCGTACGCTATTTCCCAATTCGAGTAGTGCCAGTACTTCCCCGGTGTTTTTCACGGCATTTTCGGTCAGACCCACCACTTGCACCTGCTGGTTGCCATCCTCCAGGACCCGCAATTGTGGCTTGCCCGGCATCAGAAGATCGTACACCCGGGATCCATAGATCTCGAAGAAACTGCAGGAGACGCCCAACTTCAAGTTTACATAAGATGTTGAGGTAAGATTGCTGAACACATCGTTTGCGGCCAACGCATAAACACCGTCCAAGGAGCTCTGTCGTCTTCCGATGAACTGTCCACCCATCGTATGGGTCTTGCCACTTCCGGTTTGTCCGTAGGCGAAACAGGTGGCCATACCGCCCTCAAAAATATGCCGGATCAAAGGACGTGCGGTGAATTCATAGACAGTGGTATTCGAGCAATCCTCATTAAAGACATAATCGAAACGAAAACTATGATTGTCCAGGAACTTAACCAGATTCACGTGCTTGCGCGGCTCGTGCACCACCAACATGTCCTTCGACGGAATACTGACCACGTCCAGTTCCCGATCTGCCAGCTCCTTGCGACCCAGTGGTCTCTTCCTCACACAAACCACTATTTGGTGTTCCTTGGTGGGACCTTCCGAAGTGCGGCTCTTGACAGGATGACTCTTCGTCTGGAGACGTTGCTGGCGTATCATCCTGGCTATCTCCCAGTCGGGATTCCCCGGATCTTCGCTCTTTGCCTTCTCACGCATTTGACGAACCCGGCTTTGGAGTTCCCTCCTTCGTTCCCGTTGTTTTCGCATGTTATCGACCTGAATCACCACATTAGCCTGTCGATTTGGAATCGAGGTGCTACCAGGTGGCACCTGGCGGGGCTTGGTTGTGACCACTCGTGGTGGAAAACTGCCAGCCGTCATCCGTTGCTTCTTGGAACGTGGAGGTATGGAGGCCGTTTGGTTGGCCAGTGCTCCGCTGCAGCGGGGAGCATCAAAGATCTGGGGATTCATCAGTACCACCAGATCCAGTGGCAGTTCCTTACCCCGCATCGTAAGTCCTTCGGGCCACTCCACCGTCACCAGATTACTGGAACCTCCCTCCAGTTTGATGATGCCTGCCAAGTGAACTCTGCCATCGGATCGTCTGATAAACACCTTTTGGTTGATCGACAGCTGGTCCATGGCACAATCCCAATCCCCGAATACGTTGCTCCGATTTCTACAATCAATTTATTCCAGTAACTATAAATTTTCTCCAAACAAATATGCATAATATTTAGGCCGATTCCATAGATTCCTACTATAATATTGTGTTTTGCCTGATAAAAATGATTAAAAAAACAAATGTAAATAGAATGAAAAAACAAATTCGAAAAAAATATACATGGCAATATTAATGTTACATAAATCATAGTATTTCATTTTGAATTTACTTCCTTACAATTAGAACACAAAAGTTCTGGATGATGATAAAGGTATGTATCTGTGCCTGGTACTATCCTACTATTTCACTGTGAATTAAGCCATAAAAGAAAGCACACATATATTTTTAAAATTTCCATCCTCTTTATCAGAGTTCCCTGTACCACCCGAGTGATATCTATTCAAGCGATGATTGTTTTAGCTATTTGTTCAATTTGAGGGCAAACAACAGACAGCAACAATAACCGAATCAACAAACAACACCATTCCGAGAGCCTCTTTCGTCGGGCGTCCTACATGTCCTGTGTATTTTCTATTTGCCAAGTGGGTGGTCACGAAATGAAGCATTCTTTTAGTAGAAAGAGATGGGCATATGAATGCAGAAAGAGATGGGGAGAGGCAGAGGGAGAGGGACAAGTTGCAGATACGTTTGCATAAGCCGAGACGTGTGTAACGTACCAAATTGTTATTTATTTTTTGAAGTGCTTGCGCTACTGCCTCTGAGCAAAGGTGTATCTGTGGATCCTGTACCGGCGTATCTGTGTTTTTCGCCAACGAATGTATGGGTGTCGGGATGCATAGATACATTGCTAAAAGCTACGTGCAACTTGTTTGGGTCCTTCACTGGCGTCTCGTTTGCTATTTGACGTCACATTTTACCAAATTTACCGTGTAATTATCAGCAAAGGCGACTGCAACCCGAAACCCAATCCTTTTTAACCCACAGCACACTGCAAAATGCAACAAGATATGGGCCAATAAGCCAGGCACTTCTGGTCCCCACCTGATATGCAAATTTTCATAGCTTTTTCTGTTTGCCCGGTACCCCAGGCATATTTGTTTAGCCGCAGTCAGACCGAACCGGACAGTTTGATTTGGTTTCGGGGATTTCCATGTCATTTTTAGCATCCCATTTTGCACCTGCTCCCGGGCATCACGTAAGCTGAATATTTGCTGTATGCTTGCCTAAACTGCAAATCTAAAATGAACTAATAAAGCAATTGAAATGGAAAACATTTTTCAGATTTACTATAAAAATTAATTCGAAATAAATTGAAGAGCCATTGGACTGTGTGAGCATAATGTGGCATAAAATAATTTTTTTGGCATCTCTACAAAAAATTAAATGCATATTTAATGAAGAAAGTGATTTCATCGGAATAATCTTTCGATATATTTTGTGCATTTATCTCTCGTTTCTTTTTCTGCTAATATGTGCCTCTCGACCAGTTTCAATGATATTAAAACATAATAATAAATAATTTACATATTGTTTCACACGTGCACGCTATTTAAAAATATATCACAGAAAGCATTCATCCACAATAAATGTCATTCGGCACGGATTAAATGTTGTTTGCTAATGTAATCAATTTGGACAATTTCGACATTTGAACTAATCCGTTTACATAATCCGGATGCAATCAAGCCACCGCATCACACCCCCTGCTCGATGATTACCGCCTTTGTTGCTTTGATTTAATTATGCCTGAAAAAATGAGAGCAAAATCGAAAAGCCGAAAACTAAATTAATTGCATAAAACATTTATTAAATAATTTCAAAATTGACTATTACAGACAGTGAACAGAATAAAAGGTGTGTCATATGTTGACAAAATAATTCGCATGTAACATTTGTGGAGTTGTTTTACTGATGTATGATATAGTAATTCCAGATGGTTTTTAATATAGCCGATGGATTTGCCTTGAGCTTCAGTTTTGGGGCGTTTATCCTCTCAAAAATTGTAATTAATCTCGTCTGCATTGGGAACCCGTCTCCCACTCTCGAAGTATTTGATTTTTATTCGGCAACCGCAACTCCCCGCTGTTTTTTAGTTTTTTTCTAATTAAGCCTGCAAAAATCAGTAATGTGTAATATAAGATGTTTTTCTAATTTTTGGACATACGAGTTTAGGACTTCACATTGTTCCAGATTCTTTCAATGAAGCTTTTTGGCTTCACATTAGTGCTGGGCCTTTCATCCTTCCAGAAATAGTAATAAATCTCGTTTAGCACGTTCCCGAGTCCAGATGTATGAGCATTTTGATCACCTACGACAGCCCTCTTTTCCAGAGTTGGTTCATTTTTCTTGATTAGGATCCAAATCAGTAACATGATGATTGGAGCTACTGCTAGCACATAGAATAGACGTCGTTGCATTATTGGCTTTTGATTTTCTTGGACGAGATCAGATGAGTTGTTGGTCATCTTTTGGGAAAAATATTATATTAGAGCTCTGACTCATATATTGATGTTTTCGTTCCGGGTTATTTCGTAGACTGGCTCAATAAATCGTGTTGACATATAGAGCCCTGTTTGGGTAGTTCACTGAACCCCAGTAGGGATCTCGACAAGTCCTCCAGTGGTTGCTCCCATTTCCTCAATTCGGATTGGAAAGCACTTCATCCTCAATACAATGCTGAGAAGAAAAGAGAAAACTACCGGACACAGAGAAACACACATAAATTTATAGTTGAGCCATCGAAAACAATGAGATGGAAAAGCGGGCGGCTTTCTTTTCCATTCATCCGCATCCGGATCCCCGACTGAAGTGATTTCCGTTGTTTTTTGTTATGCTCGGAGCGTTGGTGCATTCAATGGAGTGCACTCTCCGCAAAGGAACACTTGAACTGCAGCAAGAAAAGACGCACAATACAAATGTTGAGGGGCTTTGTTTGAACATCGAGCGGAGCGTCCTGCCGCATTTGTTGGCAAATAGTTTATATATATGTACTTATGTATATCCGAGACAAAGCCCAACCGCATGTGCTCCACTTTCCCACTTTTAAAACGGTAAGAAAGCAAATTGTTTGGTTGCATTCTGGTTCCGAATCTGTTTTATTTAAATCTTATTTAACATTGAAAGGAGCCCCTCAGAGCTGGAAAGTATGAAGCGGGTGAAAGCTGCAGGGATGGAATTATTACTACTAGATCGGCTAATATTTCCATAGAGATCCTCCTTACATGTCCTCGCGTGCTTTAATCAGAGTTTCCATTAGGCGGTGCAGCGGATAGTCCCCAGTGCAGATCCTGTAAACAGTGGTGAAAAGCGGAAATCTGTGAAAGAATGTTGGATTACTTTAAGGTCAATGCTAGGCGAATTTAATTGTATCCAATACTTGTCCTCCAAGCCCTTCTTTTTGAGCATGTGATGCACTAGTTCAGCCGTCACTGGACCGAGTGGCTCATGTCCTGGTATAAGGATGTGCTCCAGTTCACTTAGAGGCTTACCTGTCCTCACAAATGCTTCTGCCAACTTGCGATTGCGATTGGCTAAGGAAATGACAATGAAAATATAAATATACTAAATACAAACGTAACACTATTTTTGATTAGTGATACAAGTCTTGAATCTTCATTAAAATTTAAAATATTTTAAATACCATAACAGCTGGTGACCAAATCGGATATTCCGCAGGACTCAAAAAAGGTTCCCATTCGGCAACCCGGATAAAAAACATCCACGAATTGAAGCATCTCCAGAAATCCCCTCCGAATAATCCCGCCTTTGGTGTTTTCATTTAGATCCATTCCATCTGAACAGCCAGCCGCAAAAGCAATTATGTTCTGTAAAAAAGAAACTGAGTCATAGCATGTTTTTATTGTAAAGGGTTACCCTCAAAGTGGAGCAGATCTCCACACAGTCTGCATCCTCGGTGACCACCACACGAAATGTGGGTGACTTGAAGATGTCGTGCAGCACTCGATAATACTTCTGATCGCGACAGCCTACTGTTCCCTCGGCAAAGTGATCGTGAGCTATCTCGTGGGCCAAGTTACAACCCACCAGGACTGAACATGGAATCTATAAGACAATAAAAAGGAAAATAAATAAAATACATAACCAAAATCTATACGAAAAAAAATATAACTAAAAATTTAGGTTTACAATTTTGATATAAATAGAAATTTATTATAATATGTAATGATAATGATAGTATCTGAAGAATGTCCTCTTTTGTTAAATGAACCCATTTATGATCTTAAACCAACTAACATCAGATACCTCAGTTTTAGCCATACTCTTAATGATATTTAAAATACTTGCAAATGTGAATACAAATATGAACACATTTGTTAAGCCAGATTAAGCTTAACCCCTTTTAGCTTAAAATAATTCATATGTTATCAAATATATCACCTATTTAAATATTATATCTATTTCTAAAGCCAGACCATCTTAATAAAATAACACCATTGATTACAACCTTTAGCTGCCGCATAATTATTTGGGATATCAGGACGAACTGCCCATCATCGCCGCGTTCGAATCCCTTGATCAGAGAAACGGCATGGGCCGTGGGCTTGACTTTTCCCAATAGAGTTTTGCAACAGCTGCTGACGAAAGTCGGCGGAATGGCGAATATTATAATATCGGCATCCCTAGCCGTGGCCACAATGTCATCAACGGCCACCTGCCAAAGGAAATGAAATATTACAAATTGGACAATCGGTTTTAACCAATTTACACCCACAATGTTTGGCGGTAGTTCAAAGTTCGGCATATACTTGGCATTTATGTGGGTGGTGTTAATAATTTCGGTGAGCTTACGACCTTCAAATATTTCCTCGTACACATACATGGGCACCCTTTCATCAAGTGTTTGCGAATTTATCACATTTCTGCCCACATTCCGAGCTATAGTCGTTGCCCAGTTGCCCGATCCAATGATGCAAATCATTATTTTGTCCATCTTCTTTAGCTAACTATTATACGTAATTTTATTATTGTTTTTGTTTTGTTTATTGTGTAGTTGTAGTGACTTAAATGTCTAAGGTATTAATATTTAAACATCAAATATATTCAATATACAAATTTTGTACAGCTTATAAATCATTTATTAATACAAATGACTTAGCGTTTATAACAAAACTTTCATAAATAAGTTATTGAAATTTGCTGATGGCATTTCGATTAAATGTCAATTTTCATTTAGCACATTTGTATGGATTAGTAATTAAGAACATTATTTATTTTCGCTTTTATTTAAAGTCCATTAAAGTGTTTTTTATTAAATTGCACCAATAGAAAGTCATTTAATAGTAAGTACATTTTGCTGTCTGTCTGAGCATAGTTAATCTAATCCATACAAAGCGTCAATATTGGCTGTGCAATAGCATTATACACACTTTGGAATTTAAATCAAGCTTATTTACCACGCAGTGGGAATCGCCAATTAAACACCAGTATCGACTTCGTTGTTAACCTTAAAAATGAATGGCCAAATAAATTGAAGCATACGCAAGAACAAATATACAATCGCGCATTAATATATATGCATATTTACATGCATATAAGTTCCGTGTACATACATTGATTGAGTGCTGGGCAAATAATTCATCAGTGAAACAGTCGGTATAAAAATTACGTATACGTCACGTTCGCCAAACTGGCAGGGCAAATAATTAACTGTGGCTACCGCTTTCCCTCCAATTCCCAACAAGACTGCGTATGGATTCATTCATGTTTGCCAAAAATATGTGTATATACACACCATATTAAGCTGATGCTGGAAAATTTTCATAATTCTCGTATTTATTTTTTAATTACGTTGGCGTAAAAAAATTCTGTCAAAAATGCATGGGGAAAGAAGAAGTGGCGGCGGTTATTTAAATAAAATATAAAATTGAAAGCGTTAAAATGCAAGGGGCAAAAGCCAAAGTGAAAGTCCCATCGAAATCAATGTGCAAGAAAGTAAACACTTTGAAATTGTGCGACGCACAGTTGGCAAGCCCATCTCATCCAATTCCGACCAATCCGACCAGAATCCAACTGCAGCCCAGCCGCCCAGCGCGATCCACTCGACCATGAAATCAAAATGGATGATGGGCGAAATGAAAATGGAATTTTTAATGAGTTGCTGCCGAGGCACAGGCCAAACGAGCTGCTGGCCGAACAATGGTGCGGAGACAAAACGATGGAAATGAGGCCGGCCAGGGCTGGATTGGGATGGAGTGGTCCAAGGCCACTGCAGTCAAGTAGGCTTTGGCTTACTCCAGAGCCAAAACTCTTTAAAACACCGTGCAATACAAGAAAAATACTTCCGAGTGGTTGTACAAAATGTGTAAGGTATATTTTCTTGCCTATAAGTTCGGTTCCTTGTGACTTGCGTTCTTTATTTAAGACTGCAAAGGTATGTAATTAAAGAATTTTAAATAAAACTTAAAATAACATTTATTAAACAACTAAGAGAAAATCTGATAAATAGCTTAAATGTGGGCTTAAATTAAAGCCTTTACGAAAGCATATTAAAGACATTTAAATCAACTCCGATAAATCCAAATCAATTAAATATCAGAACTTACGTTTTAATCTCGAAAATTCAGGTGAATTGATTTATTTATAGCTATTACCAAATGTTTATTTTCCATTCAAATGAACACTTTAGTGCAATGACTTGGTCAAACATAATTCATACATTTTAAGCTCTTACACTTCGATTCCTTTAATTAAAGTCAGTAATGAGCTTAAATCTCAAACGAAAGCTTAGGTATAGCAAAATGCGGACTTAAATGTAAAAGCAAAATTTATCTAAATCAAGTCTCAGATTTTCTTATTAGAAACCTCCAGGTTAATTTTAAAGTACCTTGAAAATAATTCGTTTTTTATTCCGTCTTGGGACTGTATAAATTATGCGCACACATGTCCTCCAGCCCCTCGTCCAACATTAATTTCAGTTTTTATTATTTTATTCTCCCTGCTTTCTGTTTTATTTTTTCTACTACCATAAAGTAAACTTAACTTGGGCAGTTGGCTGGAATCGTTTCAGGGATACGCACATAAAGTTTTACCACGATTTTTATGCTTTGCACCTTAGACATCTGCCATCCTCCCTTTTACTTTGTGGTAGTTACTCATATGATTTTGTGACTACAAAGTTGAATCGTAAATAAAATTATTCCATGTTTTTGTTAGCTGCATCGTGATTTCCAGTTTCGGTTAGGAAGTTTGGGAGTCTGAGAGTAGGTAAACTTTTACTTTCTCTTTGCTCAAACTTCGAGCGAACTTTGCAATCTTGAGATAAACTAATTAGCTAGATGTGTGCTTAATTTTTGTGGTTGTAGGTTGAATATTTCTAACAAATCGATGAACGTATGAAAAGTAAATGGAATGGAATTAAAGAAAATCCTTGCTTAGCACTGAAAATGGAATTGAATTTACTTCTATATAGCCGATTTTTCTATGTAATGAATAGTTAAGAATTAATATAGAAACTATTGTATTGTATAATACTCTAAATAAGAGCCGAATTTTTTGAATAAGTGAATTGAAAAATAACTTACGGCCTCAGGACTCAACTTTGCTTTCATGTTAGCCATTTTCGCTTCCATTAGATAGAATACTGCCAGACGAAAAGTTGTGTGGGCTGCTTTAAAGCCCATTAAATTACGCGAAAAGAAAAGTTTCTGGCCCCAAAGTTGAGCTAGATTCGAGTGGAAATCAGATACAGATCCAGCTACAGATGCGGATACAAAGGGAAAGCTCTGGAGTGGAAATGACGTAGCCGCAGTCTTAGATTGCGTGCGAAATGCAAGCAAAGTTGGCTTGCTAATAGGAAAAAGGGAAGAGTTGCAAACTGCCCGGCCCGGAATGAAATCGAGATAAACTACTCACAATATTTACTTTTAATTGGAGAAGTTCAAAGAATAAACAAATATCAAGGGACCGAGGAGTAGAACGATGCGGCATTAAAAGTTTTTTGTTCTTCATTTGTTTTCCACCTTTTCCCCCACATAGATGGGCAAAAATAAAACACCTTGCTATGTACACGGAAAAAAGTTCAATCAATATCAATTTAAATCAACTGGCCTAATATGTATCAATGCTATCGTTTGCCATGATACAAATATTAATTTAAAAAGTAAATAAAAGCGCAAGATACTGTGTCTTAATGTAAACCAGAATAAAGAAGATATCCTATCACACACAAGAGCTGTAACTTAAAATACTGGTATTTATTTGTATAGTTTGTTACATTATATCGTTATGTAGAAAATTATCGCTTTATTTATTTTTAGATGATTTGCCCTATATTTTTCTGTGTAGTTTTAGCTTTAATCCCGCGATTCGAGTTCATTAAGCTCCTTAAATACGGCCCAAAGTCGAATTATTATTCCAAACAACATTCGCCGCATTTGGTTGCTATCCCACTCGCTCCCATTTGACAGCCAGCCAGAAAGTTGAGCCAGAAGTTCAAAGGAGCCAGGTCAGGGGCGAAATGGGCGTGGCAGAGGTCAAGGGGCGCGGTAAAAGCGTCTGCAGTTAGCTTTTAATGTTCTCTTTTGCGTTTCGGTGTTTTTTTACGTTCGCCTAAATGGTAATTAAAATATGCCCAGATGGTGTCTGGATGTCTGTCTTTTTTTAGCTGTCCGTCAGTTGGATAAATGAGTGGGCAGTTCGGGGTCTCAAGGTCATTTGCAATCAGGGAGTTCTTTCTTTATCTCAATCATAGTCGAGGTGCGAAAAGGTCATCGGCAGTTGCTACTTTTTAACTCTTGTCCTTTTTGGCTATTTAAAAATGCAACGAAAATGAAATCTAAATTAAAACAGTACCGTATTTGGCATTGTCATCTCGTACAATTTGGATTTACTCGAAGGGCAGATAACAACTTTCGGGGACTAAGGCGTCGCATAAAAAGCTATTCGGATAAAACTTTCACAAAAGTCTCATATCTATTTCAGGTTGGAACTGGAAAAAAGGAAAACTTTTAAGAAAAAAATTATAGCTTGGTTGTTTCTAGACAAAAAAGAATATACTCCGAGATATATCCATCACTATCCATCATCTTCAAAAATGTTATTTAATTTATTAAAAATGTATAAAAACTGCAAAGATTCGAAAATGAAAAGAAAAATCGAAAAAAAAATGTTTTATATTGTTCCAGATTCTTAAGTTTCATAATCTTTAGAATTTGTTATGCATAAAGTATACCTACGACACTTTCCGTATAAAGCTTATTACTCCTTTCAGTTTCCAGTAACCATTTAGAGAACTTTACCGCCAACTTTCATTTATAATTTGCCAGCCCCTTTTATGCCGCATATTTTTTACAAACACAAAAGGGGGTGAGAAAAGCCGGGAGGGGAAAAGCATCAGACGCAGCTGGGCGACAAGGAAAACTGTGTCAACGCAACCATTTGGCTGCCAAAACTCCCCGCTTTTCCTCCAATTTCCGCGCCCTGCCAGTCTTTGCTGCTTTCCACGCTGATGGCGACATAAATAGCACCGCTTGGATGATGGCCCGGCCCTCTTTTCCCGGAAAACTCCCCATTTTCCCGCCACCCGAATGTTGGCCATATCCCTGGTAACAGGTAACAGCCGACAGTCGCTCATAAATGTAAACTTTTTCGGCTAGTTACATGTAATTATGCCATTTTACTGACAGCAAAGATGAGAGGACTTTGCCGCAGCTTTCCTCCCCCCAATTTTCCTGCTGCGACTGCTGATGTCTTTTCACTTGATTGCCAATTTAATCGGCTCGCAATTTTCCGCCTTGGCGCCATGATTAGTGGGCGGGGCCGTTTCTAATTTGTGTATCAGTGCAAAAGGAGATTCTTCAGAGCAGATTTCACAGCGGCGACACTAGAGCGTGAAAGGAAAGAAATATATTCAGAACGACGGGTCTTATATTTATTTATTTTTCTGCCTCTGACACTGGCATGTGTGCGTGTGTATTTTCCGGTCTCACTGGCACACATAATTCAAATACGTGCCGTGCATATGTAGGAAAAATAGGATGCACACACAGTGACTGCAGTTAAT